TTTTTTTTTTTTTTTTTTTTTTTTTTGTTAAAATCATGTTAGTGGAACATTATTATTATATTTTTTTATGAAATATTATTATTTTTATTAAGATATTTTATAATCTTTTCATATTTATAAAATTGTTATCATGAGAATAAATTTAAAAAAAAAACTGACTTATTGATTATAATAATAATAATAATCATTATTATTTAGTTATAATAAATAAATAAATATAATTTCCAAAACCCTCCCTACTCCCACTTTTTTTCAAATTATAATTTTTCAATAAAATAAGAAGAATTAAAAAAATTGAAAATAAAGAATTTTGATGGTCGGTGAAAAAAAATTGAAAATAAAGAATTTTGATGGTCGGTGAAAATAATAAAAGATATTTATCTAAGTGATTCCTTTTATACCATTTCAATCAAAATATAAATAGCCATTTCGAAATTTCAACCATTAATTAATTTCCATATAAATATAAATATAAATATAAATATATATTTTTTCATTTTATGTGGCTAATTTTGTTAATCCAGGTAATTAATTTAGATAACCATTAGTGATAATATAGTAATATATTTATTAACCCAGTATTAATTATTATGTTATTTTTAGTTCTAAGAATAAAAAATTTGATATGATCCTACCCTTAATAATTATTAATATTTGATTTTAAAATAAAATTTGTAACTATATTATAATTTAAACTTGAAATAATTTCATATAAAAATATATAATTGTTAGAAAATACTAAATATATATATATATATATATATATTAAAGAAAGTAGATAATATTTCCTAGAAATATATACCAATATTAAATTGAGTCAACCGTGTGAAAGAAAAAAATAATAATAATAAAGAACTCATTATACTTAAATATTTAATAGTGAAAATTTAATATCAAAGTTTATAATTAAATCTTATTATTAATATTATATGAAAACAAGAAAAAAAAAAATCAAAGCCTACACATATTTCAATTAGGATAAAAACAGAACAGATTCAGCAAATATCTCACTTTTATTATCTAAATTTTGTTATGTAAATTTTATTGTTATAAAATGTAATTTCCTTTTTTAATTTACTCTAATTATTATTATTATTATTTTTGTAGATATATTTCTACCCTAAAAATTCAAGATGGAGATGTGTAAAGAGAATGAATGGAAACAAATTCATAAATCAAAAACTTTCAAAGTTACCAAATCTATAACTCTCCCAAAACAAAAAAAAAATAACAACAAAATAAATCTCTAAATCACTCCTATATGAATTAAGAAATTATGAAAAAGTCAAAACTATGATCCTCGTCCTGTTCTAGCTATGCACAACTTCATTCCTCCCTACGATAGCAACCACGTTTTAAATGACCTACGAAAAGCAAGAATGAAACGATCAAAGAATGATCAAATTAGGTAGGACAGAAGTAACTACTCTTTCTTGTACTCTTTATACCATTATTTATGGACGTAAATTCAATAGGTAGATATTGTATTACTTTAATTATCGGGTTTTAAATAACTTTTTAAAATAGTGATTTTAGTGAAATAAGACTTTGAAAAAGAACTTTTGTAGGTACTTTTCACTGTTTCAATACAAATTCACCTTAACTATTGTGTTTGGCAAAAGAAGTGAAAATTTTGTATACTCACTTAGCTCGATGGACTTGCAGTTTATGCGGTGGAGAGCTGAACTTCATTGGCTTTCACAGCACTCTCATCCGCCTTTGGACGGCATACAGAGTAATATGTGTAGAGAAGGAGCTGAAGGAAACCCGAAATTGCTCCAAGACCATTGCTTACCTGCAAATTTCATCAAAATAATTCAAATAATAAAACTTTCAATAAAAAAAAAATATATATTTTTGATATCGTGTGGAGGATTATTGGGAGTGAGTCACTAATTGGTTAAATTAGTTAATTTAGTGGAAGATCATGGGTTTATAAGTGAGGAATACTATCTCCATTGGTATGAAGCTTATACTCAAAGTGGACAATATCATACCATTGTGAAAAGTCGTGATTACTAACATAGTATTAGAGTTATGCCCTAAACTTAACCATGTCAATACAATATCGTACCATTGTGAAGAGTCGTGATTCCAAACATAGTATCAGAGTCATGCTCTAAACTTAACCATGTCAATAGAATCCTCAAATATCGAACAAAGAATTGGGAGTGAGTCCCACATTGGTGAGGATCCATTGGTATGAGACCTTTTGGAGAAGCCTAAAATAAACCCATGAAAACTTATGCTCAAAGGGACAATATCATACCATTGATATATATTTGGTGAAATCAATTCTAACTAATGAAGTGTTGATAGACATCAGAAGTTTTCAAATAGGCTCTAAAAAGAAACAGGTGCTGGTAGCGTTTTGTTTCCAATAGTGAAATTATAACAAAAAAGATCGGAGGTAATTGAGTTGATCAATGGCAGAATGTCTCGAGTTTATGAACGTTATTGACAAATAGAGTTATTAATTGCATGAAAATAGTAGAAACGCATGCTACTTACGAGGACATAGATGTCAAACTTGATTAGAGCATAAGCCGTCCAAATGCAACCATTGAGAAAGTTGGCCAACGAGAGAGTAAATGGCATGTACTTGACGCTCTTGGTCCTGATCACTTTTGTCTGTTCGATAAAAAAGATTTTTTAAGAAAATATTCTTATATGAAGAAGATTATTTGCTTTAAATCAACATAATTGAAATATCATGAAATTAACTTACCATGATCGTTAGAGGAGAAGCATACATTATGATGTTGAATACGTCACATATTATTCCAACCAACAGTGATCTTTGCTTGGTTCCATGAAGGAATACAATAGTTACTACAGCAACCGCAGCCACAAAAATTACCTCAATCACAAGGCAAATACTGACTTTTTTCTGAAATAAAATCAAGAAGAAAAAAAAAAGTGCGTTATACCAACTATTTTGCATAATCTTCTAAATTAATCATTAATCTAAAATAAACAATTTCGAATAAAAAATTGGATCTAAAATATTTTGAATCCTTGATTATGTGCGAATTAAATTAATACATTTAATTCATCTAGCTTAAACTTTTGGATTAACTCGATGATCTACGATTTATGTTGCTAAAATCAATAATCTACATTAGGAAGAAGTTAGAAAGAGTAATTACGAACCCGTCCTTTGGAATCAGCATACAGGCAGAATATAGCCAAATAAAATAGCTCTATGAAAAGGCCAACGCCATTAATAGTGATGATCAGAGTGCTGTCAGGATGAACGAAAGGCATTCCGTAGAATACCCAGCACATACAGTTCAACACCGTTGCAAGGTACGGATCTGGCTTGAACTCCTCAACTGATTTGCTTTTGTAAATTTTGAAAAACGTCGGTCTGCAGATTTTTTTTGATACACATGCATTAAAGCAGAGATCAAACTAACATCATCAGCAGCAATCATAAATAACAATAATAACAACAAAAAATCAATACGAACGAAATTTGCTTAAAATTTTAATTGCAAATCAAACGTTTCATAGTTGAGAATCCAGATTCTAAGAGAAAGCCTAAAAAACTAAATTCGCTTAAAACACTTTTTCTTATTTATACATAAAACGAAATCGATCAAACCAAAAGAATAAGTAAAATCCGTATTGTTCAAGGACGTCGAAGAACTTACAGCGGCGAGAGAAAAAGACCAAACGAAATGACATTTCCTGCAAAATCAAAGCATCATGAAGAACACTTATCATACACAGTTCCAGAACAATAAACTAACAGAATCAATCATCTTCGAAAAATCTCGATCGATTCAGAGAATCGGCCAGAAATTGAAGTAAATTAGAGAATCGAGGTTTCTAACTTACCGACGATGCCGACTATGTTACGAGCTTGAGTAGCAGAAAGCATTTTGGGAGAGGCTTGAAGAATCGAAGAGAAATTGCAGAGAGTTCAAGAGAGAGAGAGAGGTTTTGCAGAGAGTTTAAGAGAGAAAGAGGGAGAGATGTTTTGAGTTCTGTGACAGTTAGAGATATTTAAGCACAGTCGCGGCAGTGCCTCTGACGGATTTTCGAATGATTTAATTTCGATTTTTTTTAAAAAAAATTATTTTTTGGTTTCGATTTTCTCTCTCTTTTTTGATTGAATTTTCGTGCATGGATTTTGTTGAGATTCTATCTTTACGTAATTACGCCTCTCATTCTTCCTTATTTACAATTTTGCCATTCTCTTTTTTTTTCTTAAATAATATTATTTTAACATTAATAAAAAACTAAAGCCTTATTTATTTATTTTTGTTTTCTAAAATTTCGCCATAAAATATAGTTTGTTCGGTTGATTTTCTGTCTATTAAAATTTCACAATTAAAAAATGTCAAGGATAATATCGTAATTTTAAAAGAAATATGAATATTTTTTAAACAACAAATCAAATAAAATAATAAATTTTGTATTTTTTTTTACCAAATAAAATTTAAGTTTATGAAATTTGTTGATTTAGTTTATCAAATTTTCAAATCAAATTAAATATTATTTTCAAATTTGAAGAAATTTTTTAGTTGGTTTGAAATTAATAGAATATTATAAATAAATACTTGTTTTTTTTTGTTATAATATATTATTTAAAATTTTTATTTAGATATATTAAAATAATAAATGTACCCTTTAATTTGAAAATCAGTAAAATTACAAAAGTTTATATATATATATATATATATATATTTGTAATTTTAGATTATTTGCTCTCTTTTTTTCTCTTTAATTATAAAAATATTTTTTAAATCCTAACCTAATTTTATTTTTAAATTTTAAAAATTATATCAAAAGAAATTAATATAAATAAGTTTAAAGTTTCATTAAAATCAAAGTCAAATTTTAAAAACACAGATGAAAAATTAAAAAAAAAAACAAATATTAAATATATTTTTTAAAAAAAGAACTATTTTTTTTTAAAAAGAATTTCACTTATAATTTTAGTTTTTAATATTTAGAAAATTTATTTTAAAAAACCTAAATAAAAATATTTCAAAGTTTCACTCAAAAAAAGAAAGGAAAATTCCAGTTAAATTCTTAAAAATAGATAAAAATAAATAAATAAATATAATGATGAAATAATTAAAAAAAATAAAAAATAAAAGAGGTTAGTAGAAAATTTAGTCATATATTTTAATAATCCAAGGCTAAAATTGGCATGTCATTCAAAATAAGAAACTGATTTGGGAACTAAAATAAATGCCACGTAGACAATGTTAACATAAATGAAACAGAATTCAACTTATATTCCAGATTTGCCCTCATTTATTAATGTTTTTTTTTTAAAAAAAATTAATTAAATAGAGAATTCATCAAATATTCCATAAACAAATGGAATACTCCATAATTAACCCTAAACTATATGTCGATCCCAAAGTGACTAGGGAACGTTCACATGGTGAGGATATGGAAGCCTTTCTCGTCCCGTCTCTGCTCCTGCTTTCTATTTTAATTTTCAAAAATTTCAATTTATTTTTGCAGGACTCGGGTTCTTAAAAAAAAATTTTGCTCATCTTTTTATATATATTTTTAAAAATTATATTAAAATTTTAATGAATAATTTCCATTTTCCAATATAATTTATATTTAAAAATGTTTACGAATAAGTTATTTTTTAATCTTAGTTTCGATATATATATATATATATATAAGAAGTGAGCGGGGCGAAGCAAGCAATTGAGAGGAGATTGGAGGCCACGACGAGATGAGATTTATAATCTATGTTCTTAGCTAATGGGAAGAAATTCCTCCCGACTCGTCCTCCCATTTCCTATTCTCCATTTAAATCAAGATTCTCCTAGATGAATCTTTGTAGGACCGAACACTATAAGTTAAATCGATCTCTACAAAATTTGATTAATTAATGAGTTTAATTAATTAACGTGCATATTTAATTTATTAATAGGTTGAAAAAAAAGGTCAAATAAAAATTGAATATATTATATTTAAAAAAATAAATTTTATTTAAAAGATGAAAATAATATTTAATATATAAAAAGAAAAAGGAAAAAATTATATTTAATTTGAATGATTAACCGGTAATATATATTAGATATGAAAAGAAAATTATATTGATTGTATTTGATACTTTAAATATTAAAATAATTTATGTATATAAAAAATATTAAATAAAAATATATATTTAAAATTTAAACAGGATTTTTGTAATATTTATAAATTATTTAAAGAAAATATTATATCTTATAAAATATTTAAATATATAATATGACAAGTATTATCTCAAAATGGAAGCTCGTGCTTGCTTATCCAGGCTATAATCACGGTCGAAGCTAAAACATTATCTTTTGAGAGCGGCTTTAATCTTTTTACGCTAAACATAATGAGCTAAAAATTAAAATTCACGAACGATGAGCGTCGTTCAATTTGTGTTTACGGTAAGTCAAAGTTGAGAAGACATTGATTATTCTCGTAAAAGTGAATAGTTCAAATATTGTCAAACCAACCATCACAATTCGGACTCGGGTCTCATAAAAAATGTCTAAACTTAACTAAACCGTAAGTAATTTGATAAGCAGGAAGTCTCTTAACTTAACCTAACCCGACACGTATATGAAGATGGCAGATTTAGAATTTGTATAAGAAAAAATAGAAAAGAAAAACATGCCATAAGGGTGAGAGGAGATGCAACACTTTTTGAATACGTACATTTTAATCTTCAATTTAAGTCCAATTCGGAAACAAATTAAAACAAACTTTCAGTTCAGTTCTGTCATACACGTCTTGCTCTTTGACACATAGGTTTAAATCTTCATTCTACTCGTTGAATATAATATCTGCTCGGGAAAAAATTAAAACAAACTTTCAGTTTAATTATGTTATTCACGTCTCGTTCTCATTTTTTTTTTTCGTTTTTGATACGTAGGTTTAATTATTAATTCTATTGTTTAAATATAATATCAGTTCGGGAAAAAATTAAAGCAGACTTTCGATTCAGTTCCGTCATTCACGTTTCGTTCTCATCTTTTAAGTTTTTCGACACATGGGTTTGAATCTTCATTCTATTAGTTGAATATAACATCAGT